GCACGCACGGCACCCGGTGCGGTGGAGCCGCGCTACGGCAGCGATGGGTACTTCCGCAACCGCGCCAGCGGCAGTCGCACCGTCGCGTCGAAGAATGCGCTGCGCAAGACGAAGTACCGCCGCCCGGGCGGCACACACGCCAGCAGCGTTGGCGGTGACAACACTGCGTTGCCGAAGGGGCGTGTTGGGTACGTGTGCGTCGCCGACGAGTTCTGTCTCAGCGAGCTGGAGACGCACTACCGCGCGCAGGGCTACTACACCAAGTTTGACTTCGACGTCCTGCACATCCGCTTCTCCGACAAGGAGATGAGCACAAAGGAGATGCGTGGGGCGTCCACCATCGCCACACACAGCAGTCGCAGCCTTGAGAGTGCCACCGTCAGCCACACTAATAACAGCAACAATAACAACACCGGCAATGGCGCGGGGGGTGAGAAGGCTGGTGAGTGGACGGTGCCGCCGGTCTCGCCGCACCCGCGCAAGGCCGGTTTCGACCTCTTCGTGTTTGAATACGGAGCCATTGTGTGGTGGGGTTTTGACCAGCGCTTCTTCAAGATTGTCGAGAATGACTTCATGCTTCCCAACAGCTCTATCGCGCGACACATGGTGAACCGCTACATGACACAGCTCGTCAGTGAGAACTACCCCGTGTGGTGCACCTACACCCTCGCGCGGAAGGACACGCTGGAGCCGGACGAGGACTTCCGCGAGCGGCTGCGCTTTGACCATTTCGTTATTCCCTTCGGCCGCGGGGACTTCGATACAAGCAACGTCAGCATGCTGTGCGCCTCACACGCCCTCGCGCAGTCGGCGAAGATCGACTACCTGGAGCTGAAGGTGCAGGAGCTGACGGAGAGCTGCTCTCCGCTGCCGCGTGAGCTGCGTGAGAAGGGTCACGCGACTATCACGGAACGGCGGCTGCTGCAGCTGCGCGGGGAGGTGTTGTCTTACCGGCTGATGCTGAAGAGCGGCTCCAACCTCATGGACGAGCCAGACTTCTTCTGGGAGAATGCCCACCTAAAGCCTATTTTCCAGGCGACGAAGGAGTGCTTTGAGATCGCCGAGCGTGTGGAGGCGCTCGACAACAAGCTGGACGCCGCAAACGAGATCTTGTCGATGCTTGCGGAGGAGTTCTCACAGCGTCATGGTGCGCGCCTCGAGTGGATTGTCATTTGGCTCGTATTTGTGGAGGTCGTGATTGGTGTGCTGGAGTTGCTCATCAACGTCAAGCCGTGGTTCTACCGCAGGGCGTAGACGCGTCCGCAGATGATGTGTGTCTGTGTGTGTGTGTGTGTGTGTGTCTGTGGGCAGTGCGGCAGGGGCGGTGGAGTGCGGGAGACGCCATGGAAGTGGTAGTGAGTGGTGCTGCGACGAGGTGGGGCGTTGCGATGGCATGCGAAATAGGATAATGCATAAAAAAGAAAAGAAGCTTTTGTTTTCGCTGGCCATACACACATACACATAGAGAGAGAGAGAGAGAGAGAAGTGGCGAGAAGAGTCAGGAGGAGAAAGAAGACTAGGCGGCAGGGGAGTTGGCAAAAGGTGCGGACTCACTCAGCGGCATAGGTGCTGTGTCATATAGGATGGGGAATTTGGCATGTGCTTTGTATTTCCTTTTTTAAAAGCCGGTGCTGCTACACGCATGGGGTGAAGATGCAGGGTGGAGCGTGCGCTCTCCTTGGGGCTCTCTCAATCCGCGTAACGCTGACTGTTCTTCTCTCTCTCGCTGCGGTGCTGTGTGTGTGTGTGTGTGTGTGCTGTGGGCATAAACCACCTGCCCCAGGCGACAATGCTGTGTGGAAGTTTGCCTCTTCATTGGTGTTGTCCCGTGTCTTCAATCGCTATCTATCGATGTATCTATCTAGCTATCTCTTTCTTTCTATTTCCCGTGTCTCACTCACTTATTCGCGTTGTGTGTCTCTGGGCGCATGCGCACGCATATTTTTGTTGCGGAGTTCGTTAGTCGAGCGTCAACAGCCTCTGCTGGAAAACAACAAAACAATTCCCACGTGTTGTGAGAGAGACGGTTATTGAGGCGGTTGCGATAAATGATCATTCCGGTCCGCTGCTTCACCTGCGGCAACGTCCTAGCGGACAAGTACCTGCTGTACCTCGATCTCGTGGCGGAAGGAGTGTCGGAGGAGGCCGCGCTAGACGCCTTCAACCTGCAGAGGTTCTGCTGCCGCCGCATGTTCCTCACACACGTGGACTTCTCGGACTTGCTGCTGAAGTTCAACCCTGCCGACACGAGTGTGATGATCCGCTCTGGTGATCATTAGCTTTCGGCGGTGAATGATGCTTGAGACCCCGCACGGGGAGGGTATCGCAGGGATGTGGACTGAATGATGGTATTGTCTTGACCCGTTACGCTACTAATGGAAGCAGGAACTTGCGTGTACGGTTACTGCCGCTTCTGTTTCTGTTTGTATTACTACTCTAAGTGGTTCCTCCTCCTGCTGTTGTTGCTATGCGTCTGCATGTGCCACCCCATCTTACTTCCTCTTCCGGTTTTTTTTTCTTTTGTGCGCTTCCTCACTCTTTCACTTCTTGACCCATTTTCTTCAAGTCCGGGTGTTGCAAAAGTTGGTGGTGTGGTGGTGGCGCTGGTGCAGTGCATTGCGCAAAACCGTAGCAGGGTGTAGAGGGACCGCGTCATCATCAGCGTCGTCCCGTGCCGTCATTCACCATTGTATTCCACGGGAGTAAATGCCGGCAACAACAACGGCGGCAGGAGCAGCAGCGGGGCTGTCGTCGTCCGCCATGACGCGTGCACGTGTTGATCCGCGGCGCAAGGTCGGCCTCGCCAACGCTGTGGCGCAGGGCCGGCTGCTCTACCGCGTTGGCACCATGTCCGAGAGTGAGCTCGACGCGATACGCCGCCTCGCCGCCCCTGACGAGGATGTCCACGGCGCCCACAGGCAGCAGGAGGACGCACGGCGGCGAGAGGCATCCAAGGCGCGCACGGACTTCTGGCCCGACACAGTGCAGGCGAAGCAGGAGGCGTTCCTGCGCCGCCGCAAGTGCGAGAAGGAGGAGGAGGAGCGGCGCAAGAACGTGCTGATCGAACTGAGCCTGCAGCAGGATGAGGAGGAGCGGCGGCAGAAGCAGGCGCAGCTAGCGTTGAAGCTGCTGAAGGAGGACCCGCGTGGGCGCAATGTGCGTAGCTTGACAATGTTGCACGAGGCGATGAAGGACCGCGACGCGCAAATGGTCTTCAAGAACGAACTCAAGGAGCTGGAAAAGGAGCAGGAGCGTCAGGAGCGCGAGTTGATGGGGCGCGAACAGGGTGATTGCCTCCTCAAGGAGCAGCAGGCGAAGTATGACCGGCGTGCACGTAATGTGGCGGAGAAGAGTGAGCACCTGCAGCAGATGCTTTTCCAGATCGAGGAGCGCAAGCAGCTGCGGGCCACCAAGAAGGAGAGCCTGCTCGAGGTGCAGCGCGCCGCCCAGGAGGAGGAGGAGGAGAACCGCGAGGCTGAGCTGGAGAACAAGCAGAAGGTAGAACTCATACAGGCGTACAACAAGAGTGTAATGAGACCGCCTCTGACGAAGCACGATCGCCTCGAGCAGCGCATTCAGCGCGACAAGGGCGATGAAGAGGCGCGCGTGCATCAGGAAGCGAAGATGGACGCGATGAAACGCGACGCCCTCGCCAAGCAGCAGAAGAAGCAGGCATGGTTCGAGGAGTGCAAGGAGCAGGGCCGCGTCGCCTACGAGGCGGAGGAGGAGCAGATGCGGCACAAGGAGCGCACGCAGGACGTGTTCGAGCAGCGCGGCACCAGCATGATCAACCGCATGGCCGCCGGCGAAGACCTCCGGCGGCAGCGCGCGGTGGAAGAGCGGCAGCGGCTCACGCTCGAGCTGCAGCGCCTCTCCGAGAACGATGGCCGCGCGGAGGAGCTGCCGGAAGGCGTGCGGCGTGCG